GAGCCATTTCTCCAGCCTCATTTTTTGTCATTTTGTAATGGTCACAGCAAAAATAATGTTCAGTTCCGTAAAAACACCGGATAGGTAGAACAGATGTGAGTGGTACAGAGTCTTTGATACTACCGTATAAGGGGACTTCGGCTCCTGGGTCTTGGGATGATCTTGAGGGTGGTCTATCTAGAGGAGGAAGAGTAGGTACCAGAAAGTGCTGGGTATGACTTAGAGCATGAATAGTTATTAATTAGTATGGCAGTTCACTATGTGTGTGTGCTGGAGAATCAAACCTTGAGCCTGTGCAGCTATGTAACTGAGGCCCCAGGAAGTTCAATCTTTTAACAGCGACTTTTGCTGAACAAGAGGGCATGTTGATTAAACATCAGACTTGGTAACAAGTCAATTCTCATTGGTCAGTTTTACTGAGGTACTGGTTTTTTTGTTTGTTTGTTTGTTTTGAGACAGGGTCTCACTATGTAGTGGCCTGGAACACTCTGTAATCTTCCTGCTTCAGTCTTCCAAATGCTAGGACTATAGGAATGTGCCATTATACCTAGCTTCTAATGTGTACTAATGAGATGCCCATTTCATCAAAATTTTAAAGCATATTGGTATAAATGTGTTATTGATTTTTTAGCTTTTAAATTACCTTTATTTTATGTACATGTATGTGTGGATGTGTGTGCACATGTGGAGGACAACTTTCAGAAGTAGGTTCTTTCTACTTTGCGTGCTTGGGGGTAGAAGTAGCATGGGTTGGAGATTGCCTCAGATTGTCAGGTTTGGTGGGAAGAACCTTTATCTACTAAGCCATTTTACTGGCCACACGCTATTTTAAGACATGGTTCAATTATGTCGTCCAACCTGGCCCTGAACCGGTAATTCTCCTGCCTGAGGCTCAGTGTTGGGATAATAAGTATATGTCACTTCATCTAGCTCATACTTTAGTCTTATCTCCCTTTTCATTGCTAGTATTGTTTTTATCTTGTCTTCTCTTTTTCTTCCTCTTTTGATGAATCTTGCTCCCTCCTTTATTTGATTAGCTTTTTAAAAGAATAGACTTTTTGAGCTGGTCGAAGTGGCCCACATCTATAATCCTAGCACTCAGGGAGGCAGAGGCAGATGAATCTCTGTGAGTTTGAGGCCAGTCTGGTCTACAAAGCGAGTCCCGGACAGCCAAGGCTATACAGAGAAACCTTGTCTTGAAAAATAAAGGAAAAAAAAAAAGACTTTAAAAAAAAATCTTAATTTTCTTTTTTTTCTTTTTTTTTTTTGAGATAAGTTCTCACCCTGTAGCTCTGGCTGGCTTTGAACTCATGGAGATTCACCTGCCTCTGTCTTCCAAGATGTGCACTATTGTGGCTATGTTTTTACTTTCTTTTCTTTTTCTTTTTTTTCTATGTGCCTGCAGGTGTGTCTATGTGAATGTCAGATCTTCTTGAGCTGGAGTTAGAGAGTTGTAATCCACCATGTGGGTTCTGGGAATTGATACCAGATCCTCTGCAAGAGCAGTCAGTGCTCTTAACTGCTGAGTCATTTCTCCAGCCTTGTATTTTTCTTCTTCAGATTTATTTTTTGTGTGTGTGTGTGTGTATATGAGTAACCAATCTGCATGTACATGTGCACGCAAGAAGAGGGCATCAGATCCCATTCTAGATGGTTATGAGTCAGCATGTAGTTGCTGGGAATGGAACTCAAGACCTCTGGAAGAGCAGACAGTGCTCTTAACCTCTGAGCCACCTCTCCAGCCCCCTGTATTTTCATTTTCAATACTGATTTTATACTTCTTTTTTATTGTTGTTGTTTTGTTTGTTTTTTTTTCTGAGACAGTGTTTCTCTGTATAACTGCCCTGGCTGTCCTTGAACTTATTTTGTAGACCAGGCTGGCCTTGAACTCAGAGAGATCCGCCTGCTGAGATTAAAAGTGTATGCCACCATGCCTGGCTTACTTCTATTTTTTAACTATTATTATTTCCATACATCTACTTTTATTGAGTTTACCCCCTTTTTTCCTCAAGTTCTTTGAATAAGTTCATCAACTCTCAGTCTTCTAATTTTCCTACACCTAGGCCTTTCTCTCCCTTTCTTCCTCCCAGATGGAATCTCATTATACGTAGCCCAGGATAGCACCAATCTCATCCTCCTTCTGCCTCAATCTCTCAAATGCTGGATACAATGCTAAGCTAAATGTGGGAACTTGTAATAACTGTGTTAACTAAACTGGACAGAGTGCAGAGAAAACAGTTTGTGTGACAGCATTTCTTACCTAGTATGTTGTTTAATACAAGTTTTTTATTGGCTCTAGGTCTGTTTAAAGGAATATATTTACTGTTTAGGAAAACAGAATTCTAGAAAAAAAAAGTATATCATATTATTATTATTTAAATCTCCCAAAGCCTTACTCAGTTCTAAATTCTTTTTTAATAAGCATGGTGTGTGTGTGTGTGTGTGTGTGTGTGTGTGTGTAGGTCAGAGGACATTGTGAAATACATTCTACATTCTCTCCTTTTATATTCATGTGGGCTCTGGGGATGAAACTCAGTTCTCCAGGCATGCATACTAATTCATCTCCCTGCCTTTTCTAAGATCTATCTTATCTATTAGAAAAATGAAAGAATGGGCTTGATATTTCCTGATTTCTTGTTGTTGTTTTTAAGATTTATTCATTTATTATGTATAGTGTTCTATAGGCATGTATGCCTGCATCCAGAAGGTCTGCATACCAGACCTCATTATAGATGGTTGTGAGCTGGGAATTGAACTCAGGATCTCTAGAAGAACAGCCAGTGCTCTTAACCTGAGTCATCTCTCCGGTCCCCTCTTGGCTTTCCCCCCCCCCCCCCCCTTTAAAATCTTCTATAGATTTTTCTTGTAATTCTGTCAAGTTTTGCTTCTAAGTATGAATTTTATTTTTATGTACATCTAAGAATTTGTTTATATTCTACTAAAACTAGCCTTTTAATATAGTTGGTTATGCTTCCTGCCTTAAATTCCTTTGTCAGCTATTGATGTGGCCACAACTGTTTTCTTCCCTATTCTATTTTCTGGTTTTTGTATGTTTTATGTAGTTCTTCTAAAGAATACACAGTTTGATTTTACTGTTTACCACTATCTTTTAACTGGCTACTTTTGTATTATGGATTGAACCTAGAGCTTCACGCATGCTAGGCAGCTACTCTGCCACTGAGCGAAGTCCTTGGTCCTTTTATTACATAATTCTGAGACATTTTACTACATTGCCTAGCTTAGCCTTGAACTTAAGAGCTTTTTTGCCTCAACATTCCAAATAGCTGGGATTACAGACCCAGCCTATTTTTGTTTTCTAAAACAAAGTGTTCCTGTGTAAATCAAGCTAGCCTTCAATTTCTCCTGCCTCATATTTCCAAGTATTGGGATCACAGGAATATGCCATTACACATGGCTTGTTTACTTTTTAAATGACTCTATCCTCCCACTTTTATGCTTCTATTGGACTGATTGTTTTATTAGGTTTTATAATCTTTTTCTAACTTGGAAATTATTACTTATATTTCTATTCAGAATTTTTTCCCTAAATTAATATCCTCACCTTCCCGTACACATTTACATCTACATTTTAAAAGGTGTGTTTTTACTTGTTGAACGACAGTAACCCTGTCCTTTACTCAAACATTGGGCGTATCTAGATTTTTTTTTTACTGCGAATATCTCCTTAAGATAATTTCTAAAGGCTCTAATATGTCTCACCACACCACAGTGAGCAATAAGCACACTTTAAGTATTTCCCAAGCTTCACAATTTCTCTGTAAGAAAACATTTTCTTACAATGTTTCACAGCTCAGGGTATTGTGTAAACTGTGCTGTAAACTGCAGGATGCTAAGAAACAGTCCCTGCCAAACTGGTGCCAGAAGCTATCTCTTTCTTTCACAGACAACCCAAATGATTGTACGCATTATTTCTAAACACTGCTTCTAGAATAGAATAATTTCAAAGGAGAACTGCTCTTTTAATGCATGACAATAAAATTTAAAAATTAGAGAATAAATACATTTAGAATCTAAGGTCCAAAGAATGAGAAATATTTTGTTTCACATAGAAAATAAAAATATTTTCCCAGCCAGGTACAGTGGCACATGCCTGTAATTCCAGCACTCAGGGAGGCAGAGGTAGGCAGATCTCTGTGATTTCGAGGCCAGCCTGGTCTACAAAGAGTCCAGGACAGCCAAGGCTACACAGAGAAACCCTATCTTGAAAAAAACTAAAACAAAAAAATCTCCCTTATACTTAAGAAATTAATTAAATATATACCTTGTTCTCCTGCCTATATAAATTCCCCCATCTTCTTTATTTTTGCAGTGGTGGGCCCAGGAAGGTTAGAAAAGCTCTCTGCCATTGAACTATATTCTTAGTTCCAAAATCTTTAGTTTTAATACACGACTAAGTTTGTTTTTTTTGTTTTGTTTTGTTTTTGTTTTTGTTTTTTTTTTAAGACGGGGTCTCTCTGTATAGCCCTCCCTAGCTGTTCTGGGACTCACGCTATAGACCAGGCTGACCTCAAACTCACAGACCCACACTTACCTCTGTCTCCCTGAATGCTGGGATTAAAGGGCTGCATCACCACATTCTCTTTCTTTTTTCTGTTCTTTTCCCCCTGAGACAAGTGCATCTCCTGTAGCCCAGGCTACCCTCCAAGTTGCTATGTAACCAAGAATGCCTTTGACGTTCGATGTCTTTGTCTGTCTCTGGACTGCTGAGGTTACATGCTTATATCACCATGTCTGCTTTATGTGGGGATGAGGTACAAATGCCCAGCTTCCTGCATGCTAAGTGAGCACTCAATCAACTGAGCCACGTCCCCAGCCTAGGAGTCATTTTTTGATTGTTCCCCTGCCCAAAAAGGTAATTTTCTGACACCCCACTCCCCGACTGTACAGCAGAACACTGAACTTGTTCCCCACCCCACCTCTTAAAGTGAAAAAAAAGCTTTACAGTATTACATTCCTAACATGGTCTCCTATTTACAAACCTGTTAGTGTCCCAAATAATGACATTTCCATCAAATCCTGACGTTACTAAGAGTCTTGTATTAGTGTCATATTCGATGTTCTTCACCCAGCTAGTGTGACCATGTAAAGTGCATACTTTGGTGTTCAGTTTTCTCAGATCCCATAGTGCTATTGTGGTATCATCAGAGCAGGTAGCAAATAGCCGGTTATCAAGAAATCTACAAAAGCAGAAAAGAAAAACTGGTTCATTTAATCTCTACTGAAAGAAAATACGACTTTAGAAACAATCTCTATATTACCAGTGGGAAACAAAGTAATGCAACCTCCCTGTAGGCCGCAGAGATTCTGACATGGCAGATGGTGGCCCTGGTCCACAAAGCCGTACTTCCAGGCTGCTGACTAATCATTAGAGACATACTGTAACTGGCCCACCTCGCTTCTGATTTTATTTGAAACTAGAAATTGTGAATAGATGTTTGGAGCACAGTTGGTGGAAAGAAAGTAAAGAATCCCAAAATCTGCCCAGGAAATGAAAAGAGAAAGTTTATTAGACAACAGATTTTAAGGACTTAACTGCTCAGGGGACACTGTATTAGATTTTAATAATAGAGATTTGCTACAAGTCATGCCTCCTCCTACTTGTAACAGATTTACATATCAAACTTGAAATTCAAATTGCCATCATTTAAATCTATTAATTCAAAAGCATTCCCCAAATAATTTCCCATGACAACATTTTATTAGTCAAGACTGTAAGACAGACAGGCTATAATGTAGACTTTTTATCATTTTTACTAATTTCCTAATCCTTAGTAACAACATATTTTATATAAACACTTATAAACTGACCATTCACACTTGCTTTACTGTCTAACTTAATAGTAGGATGGTGTCTTTAGCAAACACTGTTACATATAACTTCCTAGTCTCCTGTAGAAAAATGAATTCTGGAGTTTCTTCCAACATAAAATCATATATAATTCTGTGTAAAATAAATACCAATATCTAAAAACAACATCGTGACCTTCCTGCAATTTATCACTTATCATGGTTCTCCACCCCCTTTTTTATAAGCCCACAGCACCTGGTATTCCCAGGCTGTGTCCCATCTAAGTACTAACCAAGCTTGGCTCCTGCTTTTTAACATTTAGCTGTCATCTTCTCTAGGAGGCCTTCCCTCTTTATCTTGTCTAGGGTAGGTTCCAAATTTGATAAAGCTCTCCAATCACTCTGTAAGTTTTGGGGTATGTGTGTTGTATTTGTGGTGTACATGCATTTCCTTGTGGTTCAGAGGTTGTCTTCCTATATAGTTCTTTAGCTCATTTTTTGAGGTAGTTTCATCAGTAAATATGTATTAAATGAATGAATTAAGGAGTTCATTACCCAGAGGACAAAAACACTTTGTTATATAAAATAATTATGTGAAAATAAAGAGGTAGTTAGGAAAGACTACAATGAGAGCTGACAGAAAGGAATAGGAACTCCCAGAGGTTAAGAGACATACAGGTATGTAAAAGACTGCTACATGTGGGCAAGAAGACAAATGTGGAACTTATCACTGATACCTTCCAGTGATTCCCAATGGCCTTTCTCCCCTTCTCTCCCTCCATCCCTGATTCCTCTGAACAGGATCTCACTATGCAGACTAGGCTGGCCTCACAGAGATCCTCCTGCCTCTTCTTCCCCAGTACTGGGATTAAAGGTGTGTACCAGCACTCCCAGCCACCTCCAGGGCTTTAAATAAGAAAGGGAAATGATTACATAGGAGTTTTACAATGATCATTTAGATGACAGGTCTGCAAACTTTTGGGTTTTTATTTTTTAAAGTAATCAGCTTTTCAGCATTTGTTAATAAAGTAACTAAAAAGTGATTGTTGCATGAAGGATATTTTAATTTCCAAAATGTACAAAGAATCTTGGAGTAAAAGCTAATAATTCTGAATTGAGTTTACCTTAATGAAAAATTCAATACTTGGACATTAATTCATTCATTTCCCCCCAAAAGCATTAACTGATAAATTTCTGATACTGGAAAAGATTACTTTTCCATAAATCCTCAGATTTCATCAACCAAGAGCCAGTAAAGTTCTCACAAAATTCTAAGTGTCTCTTGTACCGTTATTTCCAATACTCTGCCTAATTAATATTTTTCTCTATCAGATCCTTTATTGCCAATGATTTTATATGTATCTTGACCACTTCTCCAATATCACTTTCAGGGTTTTGTGGAATTACACATGCATTATATATACATATACATATGTGTATATATAATGGCAACTGGCAAATGCTGCATTTGTCATGTATTGTATGAAATACACAAAATAGCCAAAGACCAACAAAGACAGTGAAAAGGAAAAACAAGACTCTGAAGTAGTAAGCAGGCACTGCATTGGTTTGGTGGCATCACTGAGTGAATATTCTTAGAGTTACCTTGGGGCTTTCTCCTTTCACTCTCATAATTACAAGAACCTGGATTGCTACATGGACTCTTACATCTAAACAAAGTTGTCATAAATAAGAAGTAAGCCTAGGGGCTGGAAAGATGACTCATCAGTTAAGAGCACTGGCTGCTCTTCCAGAGGACCTGGGTTCAATTCCCAGCACCCAAATGGCAGCTCGCAACTGTCTGTAACTCCAATTCCAGGGGTTTTGGCACCTTCACAGACATATGTAGGCAAAACCACCATTGCACATAAAATAAAAATAAATAAATCTTAAGAAGTAAGCCTATAAAAGAGATGTATTTAAATTATAAACATACTTCTTTCTTAAGACATGAACAGAAAATATTCTTAGCTATCACTATTGTTATTTTACAAAATTAACAAATCAGAAAACTAAAACACAAACTTGAAGACATTACCAAGAATGTACAAAATGACTACCCAGAACGAAACCAGAAAATGCATGCCCACACCTCTTGACAGCTATAGTGAAGTAGTCTAATGAACCATGTATGATTCTATTTCTACTCTTTCCTGTATATGAAGCCTTGGACAATTTTATAAGAGTGATGGTTTCTTCATTCCTTAAAACCGGTATGGCATTTGTCTCATACAAAGACATGATAAACATCAACAAGCTGAGGCAGAACTATGACAAGTTCAAGACCGCCAGTATAACACAGTGAGTTTAAGCCCAGTCTGGCCTATACGTGGCAAGACCCTACCTCAAAAACAAATGTAGGCAATGTTAATGTCTGTGTATGTATGTATGTACACTCACTCTGGTGCACATGCAAAGGCCAGAGACAACTTTGTGGAGCTGTTCTCTCCTTCCACCATGTGGGTCCAAGGCTTTAAACCCAAGTTGTCAGGCTTGTCAGCAAAGCACCTGTCATTCCCCATCACCCAAGTTTTTAAAAATCTTGAATATATCCTATGAAAAGTGTTTTGCTGGTTTTTGACACACAATAAGGACTCACGAAACAGAAGTTAGTTTTATTAAGTAGTGAACACTTCAGTTCACCCAGAGATCTTTCTGGTCTTTAACCTCTTAGGTTACTTGTGCTTCTAAACAAACTTCAAAATCCATTTTCCTAGTGAACAAACGGGAAGAAGTAGTTTCAAATTTGGAGGCACCAGTGCTAAGGCAGCATGCAACAGTAGCACATGAGCTGATACTGATACAGAATTTGACAGGTTAGTCAAAGGTCATCTTGAGTAGGGGCAAACAACTTGATACAAGTCTATTCTTTTTGAGATACAAAAATTTTCAATTGTAAACTATTAGAAATAGAAACAATTAGAACAAATATAACAAACACCTGTGATACCCACCACCCAGCTTTATCAAATTTTAACATTTTGTTATCATTCAGAATTGTCTGAAAATACAAACATATTTGAAGTACACTGTGAGTCCCTCCCCAAGCCCATTCCCCTCCCTCCCTCTCCAGAGGGAACCACTATCCAAAATTTGTCATTCCCCATGCACGTGTTTAAATACTATAAATTAATATATAGATATCCATCATTTTTCATACGGTTTGTACTGAATTTATTCTGGAAATAAATAACGAGCACCCACCATGTACAAGGCACAGTTCTGGGTGCTAGGATAAAATAGAATAAACGCATGCCTTCATCAAGCTTATGTTTGTGAAGTTTTAAAATTTTATATAAATGGTATCATACCATACAGCTAACTCCACAACTTGCTTTTCTGTCTCATCCTTACACTTCTAGGATGTGTTTGGTTCATTTAACTGATGTATAGTATTCCATTGTACACTAACATGTATCTCCTCTCCTCTTTAACAGACATTCACGTTCTTTTTATTACCCTAATGCTATAATCAATCTTTCCTCTTCATGCATCTAATTCATGTGGTTATGGTGTGTATTAATTTGTTAAAAGTATAATGATCTTTAATTTTACCAGGCATTGCTGAACTGTTTGAAAACTATGTGACCCATTTAGATTCTTTCAATAAACCTGTGTTCCTACTTCTTATCACTGCCAATACTTGTATTTCTTCACTGACAACTGATGATCAGCCTGAAAACCTTTCCATATTTATTGCTCACTGTGATTCTCTGCACATTTTGTTAGAAGGTTTAATAGCCTCAAAATCCTTATGGTCATGATTGGAAGTATCTTCTATCAGCCTTTATCTTCCCATACTGTTAGAGGGTTTCTATAACAAAACTACAACGTCATTCAGTTGAACTCACCAATCTTTAATGGTTTATCCTTTAGTGTCTTAAAAATAGGTACAAATATGTTCTCTACTCTCTCCTAAAACTTTAAGGGTTTGCTACTATAGTTAGGTCTTTAACTTTAAGTTATTTTCAGCCATGGTGTGAGAAGGATCTGATTTTGTTTATTTTTCATGTGTATAATCAATTTCATCTTTTCCATTTTTCTCCACTGAGTTGCAATGCTTTTGCTCTTAGGTAAATGTTCCTATTTTACCGGTCTGCTTCTAGGTGATCTATTTCATTCCCTGTCTCTGGCCCAAGGCTACATTTCATATCAGGAAGGGTTGTTATTCTAACATTTTAGCCTTCTCCAAAACAACTTCAGCTGTTTGTGGCAGACCACTCAACAAAAATGTTAGTTTTATGAAAGTCTCTGATGTCATGTATCTTAGTCAAAAGTTCACTGCATTAACAGACTAGTCTGGGGAGAGTTAGCTTTTTTATGGTATGAGTTTACTTCAGTGAGGACTTGAACACTTGTGGAGTTTTTGTTTTTTGTTTTCCCGGGAGAG